GCAAAACTATCATTTTCACAGGCAATGTGATTGTTTGCATGGACGAATTATTAGAACCAACAAAAACTGTCCACAAGATTTCTGAACATAAAATCAATATATAAAAATCAATCATGTTCTTATAAATAAGCAATAAACATAAAACATCATTTTTTTTAAGTAGGCTCCACACCCAGCATGGAGCCCAATGTGGGGCTTGAACTCACAACCCTGAGATCATGACCTGAGCTGAGATCAAGAGTCAGACACTCAACTGACTGAGCCACCCAAGTGCCCCCATAAAATGTCATTTTTAAGAAAACACAATTTATATTAGCAAGAAACCTATCTTGGCAATTTGCTTTTGGCCAAAGATGTGCAAGATCTTGATGGAGGAAATTATAAAATCATTGAAAAGTAAGTAAATAAGAAGTAGTTGAACAGATAGATGTAATATATTCATGCCTGGGACTGTCAATATCATAAAGATATAAATTCTTAATTTAATCTATAAATTCAGTGCCCGTCCAATCAAAATCTCAATTGACTAGATGGCAAGGATCCTTTCACAATGTATCCATATATCAAATCACTATGATGTACACTTTATTTTTTAAGATTTTATTTATTTATGAGAGAGAGAGAGAGAGGTGGGAGGAGCAGTGGGAGAGGAACAAGCAGACTCCCCACTCAGCACCAAGCCCAATGTAGGGCTTGATCTCAGGATCCTGAGATCATGACCTGAGCCGAAACCAAGAGCTGGATGCTTAACTGACTGAGCCACCCAGGCGCCTCTCCATGATGTACACCTTAAATATCTTATAATTGTATTTGTCAGTTATGTCTCAATAGAGATGGAGGAAGAAAAAAAGAAATAGCATACGTAAAACACTTGAAAAAAAAATCCCAATAGAGTTCTTAAGAAACGTTACAACGGATTCTAAAATTCCAAATGGAAAAGTAAAGACTCAAGACTAGCTAAGAAACGTTTGAAGAACAAGAACATATGAACAATAAGGACAAATGATAAGACTTTCCCTATCATAACAAGTCTTATTATAAAGTTACAGTATTATGACAGGCTGGTATTAACAGAGGGATAAACAATAGTCCGAAGAAACAGAATAGAGATCCCAGAAATAGCACGCATATGGAAACTTGATACCTATGACAGAGTTACCATTACGGATCAATAAAAGAAGAGTAAATATTGGTGTAAATCATTGGCTATTCATTAGGGGGAAAATAATAATAAAATTAGGTCGCCACCTCACACTATGTCCAGAATTAAATTCTAACTGGCATAAAGACCTAACTATGGAAAAGCAAAATACAAAGAGTTTTGGAAGAAAATAGAGGACAATATCTTTATGATATAAGGGCAGGGGAAATTTTCTAAAATTAAGACATAGAAATTATAAATAACAAAGAAAAGTGGGATAAATTTGGCCACATAGGTTTAAAACTGTATACATCAAAAGATGTGATAAAAAGAGGAAGAGACAAGTCACAGACCAGGAGAAAAATATCTGCAACCCATATACCAAAGAATTTGCAAACATAACATATTTCTTTAAGATTTTACTTATATATTTGAGAGAGAGAGTAAGAGAGAGAGAGAGCATGAGAGGGGGAGGGTCAGAGGGAGAAGCAGACTCCCCACTGAGTGGAGAGCCCAATGTGGGGCTCAATCCTGGGATCCCGGGATTATAACCTGAGCGGAAGGCAGACACTTAACTGTCTGAGCCACCCAGGCACCCCTTCAAGCATAATATAATATAAATTCCTTCAAGTCAATAACTTAGAGACAAGACCAATAGAAAAATGGGTCAAAGGGGTGACTGGGTGGCTCAGCCGTTAAGCGTCTGCCTTCAGCTCAGGTCATGGTCCCAGGGTCCTGGGATCGAGCCCCTCATTGGGCTCCCTGCTCGGCGGGAAGCCTGCTTCTCCCTCTTCCACTCCCCCTGCTTGTATTCCCTCTCTTGCTGTGTCTCTGTCAAATAAATAAAATCTTTAAAAAAAAAAAAAAAGAAAAGAAAAGAAAAATGGGTCAAGAAAGGAGTAGGCAATTCACAGAAGAAAAAGCCTAAATGGCTAAGAAACATAAAAATCTGACCAACATTTCGGGAAATCAGGAGTTCAAACTAAAACAACCAACCACCAGATTGGAAAAAATTAAAGTCTGGCAATTCCAAGTATTGGGGAAGATGTAGAACAATGGAAATTGTTATCACACTACTAAAAAGATAATACAAATGGCACCACCATTTTGGAAATTAATTTCATAATAAAACTGAAAATGTGCACATCCTTTCTAGGTACACACCAGAAATATTAGTATCTCCTTGGATACAAGGAAACATACATTTGTATGTTTCTGCAATGTAATCCTATGCATATGTTAAAATGAACAGTAAACATAATGCTAAATGAAGAAAGTAAGTTGCAGAGGGATAAACACAGCACGATACTATTTCTTAAAACTTGATTTCTGTCGGCGGACACAATACATATGCATCGATATAGAAAAACAAATTCAGGGTATGATTAGCTCTGGGGAGAGAGGGAGGGGGCAGGACTGGTGAGGTACACAGAAGGCTTCTACTACACCTGTAGGTTCTGTTTAATCGGTGGTGGGTACACAGGCATTTGTCATATGTATATATACAAGTCAAGAGACATGCCACATCATATATCGAGATTTACTGGAAAGTTACAGTAATTAAGTCAGATAGTGTAAGCACAAGGATAGACAAATAGTGCAAACGGACAGACTAGAGCAAGATTCACTGGAGGAGGGGGGATTACCACAAAACCAGAGGCCCCTGAGAGCCAAAAAGTAACTTGGGCAGTAGGTTCTTTCCGAGACCCCTCTCTGAGATACCAGCCCCAATGCCTGGCAGTCCGGAACCTTCTCTTCCTCCTTACCACAACCTCAGCTTCTCTCCCTGACTCACTCTGGCTCGTGCGCTCTCTCTCTCACTCATCCTCCCTCAAACTTTGGAAGTTTGAATCCCCACTCTGCCACTCAACAGCCAAGCCACCTGAGCCTCAGACTCTTCATCTGTAGAGTAAGGACAGCACCACCAACCTCACAACGAGATTAGGTCTGTAGAGGACAGTGCGTCGCAGCTAGTCCCCATTCTCCTCTCTCCTCTTCCTCTTCTCCCACACCCTCTCCCTCCCCTGGTCAGGCTGAGTCCCCACCTGCTCCCTCTCCAGCCTGGGCCCACCTGCAACAGCAACCTGCTCCCCTCCCCGAGCTTGTAAGAGGGCCACCTCATCATGCACAGAAGGAAGCCTCGGGGATGTGGCCAGGGCTATTGAACTTTTAACTGGCTTATTTGCTACCTCTTTAAACAATAAAAAAATTAATTAAATATTAATTAAAGAGGGGGCGCCTGGGTGGCTCAGTGGCTTAAGCATCCAACTCTTGATTTTGGCTTAAGTCATGATCTCACGGTCATAAGTTCGAGCCCCGTATCAGGCTCTGCACTAGGCATGGAGTCTGCCTAAGATTCTCTCCCTCTCCCTCTGACCCTCTCCCTCCCCCTAAAAAAATAATAATAATAATAAATTAAAGAGAGGTGGACTCTGGGGTCAAATTTACCTATGTCTAGATCCCACTGCTGTCTCTTGTCTGTGGATATTGGGCAAGTTTCTTAACCTCTCTAAGCCTACATCAAAACATAGCTATAAAATGAGGATAGCAGTACCTACTTCATAAAGGGGTGTGTCGTTAAATAAGATAATGCTTGGGCGCCTGGGTGGCTCAGTTGGTTAAGCGACTGCCTTCGGCTCAGGTCATGATCCTGGAGTCTCGGGATCAAGTCCCGCATCGGGCTCCCTGCTCGGCGGGGAGTCTGCTTCTCCCTCTCCCGCTCCCCCCTCTTGTGCTCTTTCTCTCTCTCACTCTCTCTCTCAAATAAATAAATAAAATCTTTAAATATATATATATATAATGCTTGTACAAGCATGGAGCATGATCTCTGGCCCACAGCAGTCACGCGATGAATGTTAGCCAGCTTTTTTTATTCCCAGCCTGAGCTGAGTCCTGGGGCCATTCAGAAGTAGCAGTCAGACAGCTAGGACAGTGGTATCTCCCATCATGCCCCATGCTGTGGCCAGGACCCCTAGCACTTCTTCTGGCTGCCCCCCGACACACAAGCAGGACCCCAGCCCCTGCCCCAGCTGAGCAGTAGCACCCAAAGATTTGGGAACGAGTTTGGGGCTGAGGAGAGTTCCTGTGATATGTACCTGTGGTTGCCATGCGTGTGTGTGTGTAGGACGGATGTTTGTGGGGTCTATGTGGAGTAGGTTTGTCTGCAGCAAGTGAGCAGAGGGTCTTTCATGTCTGGGTTGCTGTGTCCTGCAAGGGTTTATGTGTCGTGTCCGCCAGCGCTGTTGTACGTGTCGTATGTCTGTGAAGATGTGTGTTTCATCCCGTGGGTGACAACATGCATCACACGAGGGGACAGCGTGTCCACTGCGACAGTTTGTGTATTGTTTGTAGTGAAGGGTCATGGGTTCTATCAGTAGCTGTCAAGGGTCTGTTGTGTGTTACGCACTTGTGAAGGGCCATGAACTATGTCCGTGGGTGATGAGGGTGTGTTCTGTGCGCTGTGTGTGAATGCTCTGTGAGGAGTGAAAGGATGTGTGATGGTTAAATGGGATCCGGTTCCCATTTGTTAAATGTTTGTGAGGAGTGAAAGGATGTGTGATGGTTAAATGGGATCCGGTTCCCATTTGTTAAATGGCTGTGAGGAGTGAAAGGATGTGTGATGGTTAAATGGGATCCAGTTCCCATTTGTTAAATGTCTGTGAGGAGTGAAAGGACGTGTGCTGTGTCTGTGGTGACCGAGGAGGGTTGTGTGTCTATGGGGGTGTGCTGGTGGGAGGAAAGTCAGACAGAACCCAGCTCTGGGGGCCCCTCCAGGGCCTGAACAGCCTTAAGGATTCTACGGAGCAGCTACACAAAGCACCCAAACCTGACCCTCTCACCCAGGCCACCAGACTCTTACCTGAGAAACAGCAGGAACAGTGGTCTAAAGAGTGGCAACAGGCTGAGGGAGAGATGGGGGCCACTGAGAGCATGTTTCCTGGTCAGCTTCTCAGAGAACTCGGGAACTAGGGCAGAGAATAGGAAGGAAGCAGAAGGCAGGCCCAGACCTAGGTGTGTGACTCACTTTATGCTCCAATCCCCATTCAACAGCCAAATAAAGAATTAGGGGAGGCCTGCCTACAGGCTCAGCAGGAAGACAAGGAAGCCAGGTCCCTGGGTGGGGCCCCCACCCTGAAGTCACTGGGAATAACCACACCTAGCCAGGGAGTCTCTCTGCATGTCAGCTCAGCCACCAACACTGGGCTGGTCCGTCTGATACGGAGCCTCTCTTTCGGTAAGGGTTGGGCTTAGGCTGACAGAGGAACTGGGTCCCTTGTCTGAGGGAGAGATGAGCCCTGACCTAGAGAAGGTCCTAAACCTGCCCAGGAGCCCCCAGTCTGAGGTGGGGTGTGGACACAGCCCTGTCATCAGGAGCCCGAGTTTCAGTGGTCACAGCCCCAACTCCAGGGAGCCCCAAGCTGATGGAACAGACCAAAAGCTGCTCTCAGAAGATACCCTTCTCACAGCCGGCCTTGCCCACAGGAAGCCACGGTACAATAGGTGTGACGTAGACTGCCCACAGATACCCCCAACCAGGGAGGAGGCAGCCTTGCCCTCAGGGATGCCCAGTCTGTTGGAAAAGAGGAAATTCTGCCTTATGAATCCACCCCGCTGAGGGAGAGACATAGCCATCGCCGCCCTCGTGAGCTGCCAGTCGGAAGGAGAAGACGGATCCTCGCTCTGAGGAGTCCCTAGTCTGACCAAGGCCAAAGACCATAGTTCTGTCAAAAGCCTAGAACTGCCCCAACCCTGTGGGCTCTGTGCTGAAAGTTACTCTTTGTCTCCACCTCACCCTCACCAAAATATCTGATTGGCCTTAGCAGGAAGCAAAGTGTCAGGGCACAGACAAAAGCAAATTAGGCCATTGCACAGGTGGACACTCTCAAATCCCAACTCTAAGAATCCACTAGCCCAGGGTTTGACCACTGCCTCTGGTCTTCAACCCAAGCCCTCTAGTGAGCGTCTCCGAGCCTGTTTCCTGGGTGATAGCCACACATACTCTCTACTTTACATCTAGCATGATGCCTGGCCTATAACAAGAACTCAGTAGGGGCGCCTGGGTGGCTCAGTCGGTTAAGCATCTGACTTGATTTCGGCTCAGGTCATGATCCCAGGGTCCTGGGATCGAGCCCCGCGTCGGGCTCCCTGCTCCGCGGGAGGTCTGCTTCTCCCTCTCTCTGCAGCTCCGCCTGCTTGTGTTCTCTCTCTCTCTGTCAAATAAATAAATAAAATCTTAAAAAAAAAAAAAAAGAACTCAGTAAATGAAAATCACTTTATTTACCCAAGTTCCTACCTGTGTCCCCAAACTGGGCATCAAATCCTTTCTCCACATCAGACTCAGTTTGAAGAACGTATTAAAAATGAAGGTTTAAACAAAAGCAGCTTCTCAGATCCCACTTTAAGAAATTCTGATCCAGCAGTGTTGGTGATGGGGCCCAGGAAATGAATTTTTAGCAAGCACCCATTGATTCCAAGGTGAACAGCCCATTTTGCAGAGCAGGCTTGGAGGGACTACGGAGGAAGCCAGGGACGGGGCAGGCAGTTCCGGTACCCAAAGGCACTTTCGAGCTATGCTTACCTACTCCCCACCAAGCCACAGGTAGAGGGCCAGGGTATTGGCATCTCTGGCAGAACCCCAAGTTCTACCCATCCACCACCTCATGGTGGACTTTTTTTTTCTTTTTTTTTTTTTTGACTTCTGTATTTATTTTTTTCTTCCAAGTTTTTATTTAAATTCCGGTTAGTCAACAGAGTGGAATATGAGTTTCAGGTGTAGGATTTAGTGATTCACCACTTATACACAACACCCAGTGCTCATCACACGTGACCTCCTGAATACCCATCACCCATCTAGTCCATCCCCCGCCCACCTCCCCTCCAGCACCCCTCAGTGTGTTCTCTATCGTTAAGAGTCTGTTTTATGGTTCGCCTCTTTTCTTCCCCCGTGTTCATATGTTACGTTTCTTAAATTCCACATGTGGGTGAAATCATATGCTATTTGTCTTTCTCTGGACTGGCTGTTCTTGCCTGATGTCCCAGCGCTGGCAGAGTTAACCTGGGAGCCTCTTGAAGACCCAGGTGTCTGTCTCCCCAGCTCTGAATCCTCAGTGGTAATCTTCATGGAGCCCAGAGACTGTCTTTTCACCAGGTTTCCCAGGTGTGCTCCATTCTCTGCTCTTTCACCGGATCCTTGAGGTAGCCACGCTGGAGGAGGGCTAGGGAGGACTGCTCACTGTGCACCACGCTGGGCCAGGATCCGGTTTCCCTGATCTCCTTAACTCCCTGGGCAACAGGTTGAAGAGAAAAGGAAGCAGAGGCTCAGAGAAGTTTTAAGGCTACAGACTGGCACCAGATGCAGGTCTGCTGCCTCCACTTATAAGCTTTGTTCTTCTTATAATACACAGAAACGCACCAGACTTCGTAGAACAGGAATGGACAAAGTATTTTTACCCTCCTTTTACCAAAGAGGAAGAAGTTAAAGCCGTGAAAGGGGAAATGATGTGCCAGGATTTGCAAAGCTACTGAGTGGAAGAGCAGATACTTGGTAAGGTGACTCGAAGCCCTTTCTGAGCTCATGCCTCATTACTCAGGTCAGACAGCCCCATGCTCCCCGAGTCCACGGGGAGAAGTAGGGACAACCTCCAGCAAGGGGGCAGCTGAACTAGATGTGCCGGGATGGATGGGGGTGGGGCTGAGGGAGAGGGAGGAAATGGAGAGGGGCAAATCCTGCTTCACTTCTGCCCTCCTCCACCCTAGGTGCAGGCCCAGACTCATCCACAGCCTCCCACGCTTACTCCTACCTCTGCCAGGGTCCTAACGAAGCAAGAGAGGCTAGAAGGTGGGGCCTGGCTGAGAGCCACAGCCTGGGATGGGATGGGGTGGGGTGGGAGGGTTTGGGTGACTGGGCTGCCAAAGGCAATGACTGATGCTTTAGGTGGTCGCACCTCTTTCTAAAGGTACTGTTCCCACTCTACCCATGAGGAAGCTGAGGCTGAGCTGAACCCGCATGGCAGGATTCTAACCCTCCCTGTCTGGCTGCTTCCGTTTCACCTCTGCCCATGGTGGTCAGCAGCGAGCCGCACAGGGGGAGAGGTGGGGGCAGTGGCTATCTGCTCCATTATTCACAGCAAACCACAGGAAGGAGAGAAGTGCTCACCCAGCCTGTCATTCTCTCTGGGCCCTGGCGCTCCTCCAGTGAGTCTTTCCTGCCCAAAGAGCCCCTTCAGCTGCTCACAAATGAAGAGTCTGGAGAAGCTGCCACAGCCACAGCCCTGCTTTGGAGACATCTTGGCTCACGCGGCCTCAATTCAATGCCCAAAGCACGCCCCTCTCCTAGGTGGGTCATTACTGAAACAATTGCTCTGAATTGTTTCAAGCCCTCTAGTGAGCGTCTCCGAGCCTGTTTCCTGGGTGATAACCACACATACTCTCTACTTTACACCTAGCATGATGCCTGGCCTATAACAAGAACTCAGTAGGGGCGCCTGGGTGGCTCAGTCGGTTAAGCATCTGACTTGATTTCAGCTCAGGTCATGATCCCAGGGTCCTGGGATCGAGCCCCGCGTCGGGCTCCCTGGTACACAGCGACCATGTGCCAGAAAGGTAATGGGCAGGCTTTAGTCCATCTGGGAACGTAGGACGTCATGGTTGAAACCCAAATTCCTTAGTAGGACTTTCTGAGGTCCCTGGCCTCACGTCAGCCCGCTTCTATGCTTCTAAGCACGGCTTCAGTTCCTGCTGGCTCTCCGCACACTGTTCCCTCATTCCTCAAGTCCCACCCCACCTGCACCAGACGCATAGTGGTCCTCGCAGTCCATCTCCCTCTCTTCCTTCCTTGCCAAAACTTTACTGGAAAGAGTAGGTGCCCGGTCCTGAGGGGCAAGTCCTGGTCTATGGCCTGCCCATTCTCCCTTGCCGTTTTCCCAGATTTACAGTTGGAGGTGGCCATCTTTGGGGGAAATTTTTGATGAGACTCATCTTCTAGAGAATGCCATCTTCGGGGGAAAATTTTGCTTCCTGGATGACTTCTTTCTGCTTGGCGATTGGTATGTGGTGTGGCGCGGCCACAACCTTCTATGAGATTCTACAAGGATTAAATGACAAGCCTGCTGAGAATGGAGAAGCACAGGAAGAGCCTTGCTCCTTGGTAGCACTGTGGGGCGGGCCCACGACCAAGACCTGAAACTGCCTGCCAGCAGACTTCCCCTCCTTGTTTATGCTATTTACTCCACGCAGCTGGAAACATTCCTAACCGATGCATCAGACACATCTCTTCTGGGGTGCCTGGGGGGGGCCTGTCAGCTAAGTGTCTGCCCACCCTCTGTGCTCAGATTCATCTGCAGTGTCGACTGCTTAGCTGCACTTGGAAGGACAGTAAGACACCCAAGCTTCTGTCCCCTCCCATAGAGAAGCAACTCAAACATGCAGTGTCTCAATACAAGACAGTGTGCCTTTGTGATTACCGTACCTCTTTCCTTATCTATAAAACACTGCATCAGGTCTACTTACAAGTCACCCAGTTTCTCCTATCTTCACATTTTAGGTGCCATCTTTCTATTTTCCACCTTGTATCCCACCCAGGAGCTGATCCTGTCTCTCACAGCCAGCAGGACATTTGAGAATATACCATAAGCTGGGTGCTCTCACACATTATTTCATTTAATCCTTGAAATAATCAGGATCTTCATTTTACACATAATAGGATATTAGCAACAGCCTCTGAGCACCGTAACAGTAAACGTATATATGCCATGGCTAATCCTCCCTCAAAGCTGCCACACCGATCTATATTCCCATTTTGTAGATGAAGAGACTAAGGTGCAGCAATTAAGTGGTAGGGAGCACGTGGGAGCAGCTCTGTCCAACTCCAAAGCATTTCAGAGTTGGGCCAAGGGACCCATCCTTGGAGTAATACCTAAGGACGAGTACATCGATGGTTACGGTATAAAAATTTATTACATGTACAGAATATGACCACTAACGAATGGAGACAGGCTAGGACACAATGATACCGGATGGAAGATGGCCAGCTCTTTGGGAAGTGAACAGGTCTGGGTGGCTCGCAGCCTCATGCCACGCGGAACGGTCAGTCAGAAGGGAGAGCACATGCCAAACGCTGCGGAAGGTCAGGGCATCGAGTGACTGCTCTGCGTGCCCACGGCCTTCCTTGTCTGATCTGGGGCTTCGAAGGATGCCACGCCCGGAAGCAAGCACCTGAAGCAAAGGGGATTCCTAAGGTGGCCCAGGCTTGTCTCTGAAGTCACGGCAACACCATTTTAAGCAATATGTTTAATTGGATGATTTCCACAAACTATACACGAAGTTTCTAACCATCACAATTCGGTGAAGTACAAAACATTAAGTTACAGGCTGTGGGAAGAGAAGGCAGAACCAATGGTGGCACCTTCCAGTCCTGGTTGGTCTAGGGGTGGGGGTGGGGGAAGGTTTCGTTTTAAACTGAGCCCCTCATTTCAATGTACAAAAGAATTACTCTGATCGATAGTAAATTGTATTGAGAACAAAATGGACTAAAAAGCAACTACTACTCTATGTTGGGGTGGAAATGGGAGGAAAGAATGAGTCCTTCAAAGCAGGAGGGGAGACAGTTGGGGGAAGGTTCTGCGGCTGTGACCCCACGTGGTCACTCACGCTGCTCCATTTTTACTTTCGGTGGTCTTAGGAAGGTCCGATTTTTCTTCTCTTTCTTCCCCTTTGTATTTGCTTGGAAGTTTCGCCAGCTGTCCACACGACCATCTCGACTTTCCTGAGCACAAAAGAGGTTTGGGGGTGAGGAAACTAGCTGAAGAGAAGAAGGGCCTGGACCTGCTCTGCCATCCCCGTAGCCCAGCCCGTCTCAGTCCTCTGGAATAATCCAAGAGTAGAACAGAGCAGAGCTTTCCTCCCACTTCCACAGGCCCACAAAAAGTGGCATCCCACCCCCAGAAGGCAGGATCAGCTGCGGGTTGGAAGAAGAGGACAACATCATCACAACATGTGCCGGGGACCTCAGGGCTGGATATTTAGCAGATGCTCTTTCTAATCCTCACAAACAAGCGGCCGGCAGCGGGTAATGCCGCCACCATTTCACAAATGACAACACCACAGCTCAGAGGTTATCGCTTTCTCAGAGTCATACGTCTAGCCAGCAGGACAGCCGCTCTTCCCACTGCATCCTCCTTTGGCCCCGCAAAACTCGGATGGAGGCTCAAAGCCAGCACGATGCCTAGCCGT